CGCTGGAGAGTGGGGAAGTCCGTTAGGGGGAACGAGGAGCTGCAGTGCAAGAAACTTAAAAAAAAAAACCACTTGAGGTTATTAAAGTGAAGAGGTGGTGGCCTCAGTGGGCTGCAAAGCCTGCAGCAGCTGTGTGTGAAAAAATACATTTCATGCCCTCCACTTGACTTCACGCACATAAAATCCATAGTCTGAAATAATAATAAGGTTTATACGATGCTGTAGTTCGTGCACTATGGTAATTATATGTAGTAATACACAATGGTGTATTATTTTTTCCATATATGAATTTTTGCATATATGAGTGCTGTAGTCAAACTTACTTTTCTTTATACGTTGTGTTTTAAGTTTAGCCTCAGAATTCAGACGTACTTGTCTTGCTGACTGTTTCTTCTAACTGCAGTCTGTTTTCAGCTTTGAAATAACTTTGACTCTATCTTGTTCTGATTTTATTTTTGTAAACAAGGTGACTTATTTCTTTTGCAAGACCTTATTGGCAGAAATATATCCATTTCCTTGGCTGTTGATGCTTTTGACAACTGTAATGGAAGGTGGCTCAAGACTAACTTGACTTCTCCTACTCCCTCTCTCTGTGTTACTTTTCTGCTTTGTTGAAGCTGCTGCACAAAAAGTGCACCTGTGGCTGGCACTAACTGCAAGCAGAGTGAAGGAAATGAGGTTTAGTACTACCTGGAATTTGAACCACCTTGTTTCCTGCCCTCCGAGGCCAGGGGCTGGAGCACTCCGAAGTCAGGACCACATCGGCCATGTGGAAATCGGTCATGGAAGATGACAAGGTAATCTTTAACCAGTTTTTAAATATGAAATGAGCTTTATATAAAAGCAGTGGGAATAAAAGTAGCGTTCATTCTGCCTCCGTAAAAAACTCAAGTCTTCTGTGGAAAACAGATGATAAGGAGGGAAGAGTAAAGAGGTTCTGTTGGAACTGTGTGGTCATAGTATTTAATTTTTGTAATTCATTCAAATTTGAAGTAATTCAGGCCTTCCATTAATTGATTTCAAAGGCGTGTCCTTATTTTACTGCCAAAACGTTGTGTGACGTGTTGCAATCAGTGTGTTGCTGTAATGTTATCTTTACACTCTAGACTTGTTTTACATCTGTGTGTGTCCTATCGTTACAGCAGACAGTGTCTGTTGAAGATCCTTTGTCTTAGTGCTTGGATGAGATTCAGCTTCTGATTTTTATTTTACTTCTGTTGTCTTCTGAGAGAAAGGAAACGCATACCGTGAGGACAGAAGTAATATTTGAGCCCAAAGAAAGAGGTTTTGGTCAATTAATCACGTGATTGTCCACAGCTCTCTGGTGGCTGCTGCTTTTGGAGAGGCAGATTCCTGTGTTTGCATTTTACAGGTGGATGGTGTTTCCTCAAAGCCTTGGAGAAGTGTTGTCAGGTTTCTTCCCATCAGAAGGAGGTCACAAGATTTAAATTTGGCTCTTGGTTTCAAAAGGGGAAATGGGATCCGCTCTCACTTTGTTTTCAAAACCCATGTGCTTTTCCAGTGGGAGCACTTCTGTTTTAAAAGGAAAAAAAATGGGGAACTAAGTCATGTGGATATCAAGTTTTTTTTTTCTTTTCTTTTTTTCTCTTTTTCCATTCAGTAGTGTTTGAGAATCTGTTCTCTTAGAGCAGCTGTAGTAGGAGAGTTCTGTGCTACGTGATTATTCTCCTCCCTTCCACTAGGATTGGTAAGTCTGTGCTTCTCTTCTTTTCTTTTCCTTACACTTTGTTACAGAATGCAGGCACATTTGCTTATTTGAGAACCAAAATTTTCTTAGCCTGCGCCCTGTTTTTCAGAAGCAGGTGAGACACACAGCATTCCAAATTCTAGGGACCTTCAGCAAGGTTTAGGCTTCCAAGTACTCTTGTCTCAGTCACAGTTGATTTCTTAAGTCCCTTAAGTGCTTTGTCCTTTTTTTTTTTTTTTTTTTTTGCATATGTAAATGATTCTGTAGATAAAAAGTTACTCGACTGTAACCAGGAGGAGACGTGCTTTGGTAGGCGTATGGTGACTCCAGTTGTGACCTTCGGCTTCAGGGATGGAGCAGTGCCATTCAAGCTGAAAATGAACTCCAAAAAAAAAAAAAGCGAATGACTGTACTGCAACTCTGTGAATTTAGGAGGGAGGTTGAAAAGTTTCATCCCTCAAGTAATGGGAGTTTTAAAATAGCTTTCTGGAAGGAGTCCTGGGGTTAAAAAAGTGACGGTGTATCAAGTTTCGTTGCAGAACAACTGAACCAGGGTCTATGGTTCAGCTGCTGATAGTTAGAAGCAAATGAATGGAGTGAGAAGGATCTTTCCAGCTATATATCAAATACTGTATCGTGTTTGCAGCGGTTTCTTTTGTGGGGAGAGCCTTGCGTGGGGTTACTACTGGTTTTAAAGTGATGGCACTGGGAGAAGTATCAAGCCTTAGTTGTCCATTCTTTATGTAGAATTTGGGGTGTATTTCAAACAGCGTGCCAGCTTTTCCCGTAGTGAAAAGTACTCTGCTCTAAAGAGAGACAACCCAGTCGATTTGAACAGGAGGTGATTTGAAAAGGAATGATTAAGAATCGTTAAATGTAAGAGATTATTTTGAGACGTATTGGCGAGGTTTTGGTTATTCATGTGCATTTAGTAAAACTGTGGAGCTTATAAATACGTGACTCATCATTTTTGGGGAAGACAAACTTAACTACAGCTTTTTAAATCACCAGTAAGAGGGACTCTAAAACATTTGTATATGTGAACCACATTTTTGGATGCACTTCTATGATACTTGAAAAGCTCTCAGCATCTTTGGGAGTTCCTGGCACCTCACAGGAGGGCTCAGGCCAGTCGAGAATCAACCTCCAAGTCTGAATTTGATATTGATTTTCATCCTCTTTCACTTTTTTTAGCTCTTAGAAATTGTTGTCTTTCAATAGAAAATGTTGTCTTGCAGGTCATGGTAGTGATAGAGACAAAGTAATTTTGCAGGTTTTTACAGCTCCTCAGGATGATCTGTCTGAACTAGCCACAGTGCAGAAGAGAGAACTGGGAACAGACGTCGTATTAAGATGAAGAGCCTGGTTAATGCCCTCTATGTAGCTTCAGAATAATTTTTGTTGATGTGATGTAGAGGTTGACATTGTAGACAAGCATACGCTTTACTGAAGATAAATAAAAGAAATCACAGTCTTTATGAAAAATCCTTTTTATCATTGCTCTTCCGTGTCCTAATGAGTTAGAGGTACTCTACCTGTCTTTCTTTTGCTCACAGGACTACATGGAACTCTGGTGATCAGGCTGTTCCTCACACTTGTCATCATGTTGGCAGAAGGCATCTTAATGAGGCTCACGTATAAAGAAAGCTGTCATCAGGAAAGGCCTCACAAGTCTTGTGCATCCGGAAAGGATAAAGAAGGCATCTGGACACAGAAACTTGTAGACAACCCTAAAATTAAAGGCTTTGCTGGTGGACAGGAGAAGCAGGATGAGATTGCAGCTAGAAGTAGCAAACCAGAACACTGGAGCAGTTCGCGATGGAGATCCATAGAAGAGGTACCTGCAAAAGATCAGAAAAAGCTTCTGAAAGGGATTGTGTCACCGGCTCTACATATCCCCAAAAGAGACCAGCATCCCGAGCAGGTGGATTTGTACACATCCTGGTCATGGAACAGCATTTATCAAAACTATCCGGACCTACATATTGGGGGTGACCGTGTGGGCGCCCACACTTGCGACTCAGGTTGTGTTCTAGACCACGTGTGGGATGAACCCCACGACGGCCCCGTTCTACTCTCCGTAGATATTCCTCTAGGTCAGTCTCCTCTGTGCGAGCATCCCGAAAAGCCAAGTGTGAAGTCCCTGCCTGGAGATGAGTCTGGAGAAAGGAGCATCGTGCTCGGTGAGGAGCCTCTTTCGAACTCCATGCTCAACAAGTACATGGAAACAAAAGTGGCGGAGTTCTATAAACAGTTTTTTGAAGAAAGCTTGGCCAGGTGCGGTTCTGTAACGAACCTCCTCGCTTGCAGCTTCATCAGGAATAACCTGAATCAGATCAGCTTTCAGATATCGCAGGAGCAGAAGATAGAAACATTAAAGGCCAGAGAAGTGCTCTTGCGCTCCTTGGCTTTATTTAGTTCGTGCAACACCGCCAACAGGAGTAGCTCAGAGTTAAGTACTCCGGACTTACAAATCTCAAACCCAGCATGCAGGAAAAAGAGCTGCAGGGTGCAGTTTACATCATGACTGATCTACTGAGCTGGAGAGGTGAATATGATTCCCTAAGGATTAGTTTGGGAAATGAAAATATGTGCACACTACAGACTTCTTCCGATAAATATTTTAAGGCTTAAACTGTATTTTGTTAGCAGAGGAAGTAAAGATTGCTGTGTTCTTTTTTTTTTTTTCTAATGTAGAATTTGAAATAAATTTAAAAAATGCTCATCAACCATATTTCCGTAATGTATATCTCCTTCTCCAAAACTCTGGCTGTACAAGTGATGGTGCTCTTGTACCACTGGTCTTAGTCCTGCCAGAAAAATAAGTCAAGGTGTGTGCGGGTAAAATTTTGCTCAGAGACTGATCTACCTGGAGAGTAATTAAGAGTCAAATTGTCGCTGCTGCACTTTGCATTGGGCTGTAGAATTGAAGCCCAAGTTTTAGACACTTGGGTTCAAGTTTTGCTTCTGCAAATCTTGATTGGTGACTGAAAAAAATATCTTTGGTTTGAAATTCTTGACAGCAGGTTGAGAACTCTCTTTATTTTGTATATGTTGTCGTGCATAGGAAATGGATTGATGTGAAATGTGAATGAAGATACAGTGTATGTGTGTTTGTGCTGCATAGCTGGAGTACGGTACAGTGAAAATCTAGGTGAAGGAGTTGAAATACTATCTCAATCTCGATCATTTCTGTAAAAAAAACCGTTTTCCTCTTAAATAAATCTTCCCTCTCTGATGTAACCTCCTCGGCTTTCTGTGAGTGTGTTACTATTTTATATTCCATCTGTATTTTTAGTAAAGGGAACTCTGCCTTTTATTACCTTGGAAATGAAGCACCTGCAGCCTCGGTGGGCTGAGATTACTGCAACCTTCCTGAAAAGGTAATATTTCAGCTGGCCATTAATCCTGTCACCTTCGTAAAGTGAGAGAGAATGTTACCTGGTCTAGTAAGGAACCCTCTTGGCTTGCACCACAGGTGAGTGTGGCTTGATGCTCCTGAGGTTCTGAGTTTGCAAATAAAATCCAAAAATCTAGCAATGAACTGTGTTTATATCATCTCTTAAAAAAATGCACTTTATGCATCTGGACCTAAAATCTTTGTCAGCTCTCTAAGAGAATGTGAAGGAGCTTGTGATCTCTCAGTAATAATACATCAAATGCAAACTGTTTTGTGTTTGTAAATCAGGGCCCTTGACATCTCATCAGTCCTTTGAAAAGATCAAAGTTGTTTGTTGGGTCTCTTTGGGGTTTTTTTGCATTTTATTGTGTTTTGCATCTTGAAAAAGCCCAACAACTCAAAGTCTGAGCTGGCATTTATAATGAAAATACCTGTAGGCTCGAAAGAATGCCTCAGAACATCGGGAAGATCTGCCTTGAAGCTCTTAATTCAAGTAATTTAGCTTATTGATGAGTTGCATTTACTGCAGCAGAAGCTGTATGGTGGGGCTTGGAGGTGAAGTGGCCTGTTTGAGCCAAAGTGAAAATAGAAATTTGCGGAAGGAAGGTGGGCTGGGCCTTTAATAACCTGTATCTGCAAAGACTGCATGTTCGTGGCACGGGGCTTCTTGAGGAGGATGCAAATGGAACTACAAAACTTCCCTGTCATAAGATTTTTATCCTTTTCAGATGCCTTTTTGTTTAATCTGTGTGCCAGAAAAAACTGGAATTGGGGAAGTGGTAGCAGGGAATTCTTGCCAGTTCTCGTTCCGTGTTCCGACAGAGAAATGCTCCTCAGGTACCAGGACCCTGGAGAAAACCGGACTCCTCAGGTGAGCCCACCCAGTTAACTGATACCTGCGAATGCCTGGTGTAGAGAATAACATCTGCCACTGTGGGATGCTCTCTTTCTGTGGACTATGTCTATCGGGACTTTATTTCACTTGGGATGCTTTTTTGGGGCTATCTTTCAGGGAGAAAAGTTGGCTCTGTTGTTAGGATCTCCTTAAATTGCTGTTTCTTGGAAACAGCCTGGTGTTGTGCTGCTTTTCCTGGGGCCTCGCCGGTGTTCCAGTGCTGAATGACGGATGAGCCAGGGGCTGAGGACCTTCACCTGGTGAACCATAACTGCAGGAGACTGGGAGAACTGTGGCTTTCAAACCAACTGCGGAAGAAATGCGAAGGCTCACAGGGATTTTCTGTGTCTTGTTAAGGCTGCTTCTCCTGGAGGGTAGGTGGGAACAGCATCTTTCCTAAATAGAGCTCCAGTTATGTAAATTTGAAATACACGGCTCTGAACTCTGTGAAACTCTGCTCCATCCACAAACGGGGCTGGCAAGTCAACCTACGTGGTGTCCCTGCAGCTGAATTAACCCCGCAGGGGGCTGCTAGCTCTAACTGCCCTCTGCTCTGCACAGGACTGGAAACACTGGTTTTGCTGTGAGCATGGAGTTTTATGCATTGGAGCTCAAGTTCTTCACTTCACACTAAGTGGCACAGTGTGCCTGTAATTCGCTTTTTGTGCTTTTGTGTTAGGCTTTTCTGCAAACTCTCCGGTCCTACCATCCCCAGCTGTAGGAAACCCCACAGGGGCTTCCTGAGTTCTGAGGCACAGCAAATGCTTCCAGTTCCCTGTGACAGAAGTACCCACGGAACGCTGCTGACGTGTGACCTCTGACTTAATATTTAGGAGTCCTTGATGCTCCTCGGAAAAATTCTTGTTTTGTGCAATAATGTGATTTCTTAATATACTCTGTTATTTTTTCGCTCTCATTCCCCATCTGTAGCAGCTGCACACTTCTGCTTTCCAGCGCCAAGTTTTTAAGACACACTGACCATTTATTCACTTGCTCTGTCTGTTGCTCAACCATATGAAGTTGATGTTTCCATAATTAAGCACTAAGCTGAGATGTAACAAAAGCTAACAAGGAAGAGTGAGCGAACCCCCAGACTCGTGCCCCCTCTTATTTTGTGTATGTAAACTATACTAATGCTTTATTCCAAATGAAATAACATTTGTGAACTTAATGCAACAGAGAGCGTAACTGCAAACTGTTTTCAAAAAAATCTGGGCTTGGAGTTTTAAATTAACATAGTTCATTTAACCGTCTTTCCTGTTAGTTGGATTATAAAGTAAAAACCACCACTCCTTTCCTGCAGGGTGCCGCGGTACGTGGGACCAGCGTGTGGGCAAATCACGCCTGACAAATTTGGTGGCCTTCTACGATGGGGTTACAGCACGGGTGGATAAGAGAAGAGGACCTGGTATCATCTACCCAAAAGACCTTTCAAGTCCCCTCTGACACAAACCGTTCCATGATTCTATTTCCAGCCAGAAGCTTAAAGCGGATGCCACTGCTGTTGGCCTGCTGTAATCATGCTGATTCCTGGGGTTTGTTTTCCTCCTCGGCTTTTGCTTTATTTTGAGATTACGCAACTATCGTGACCGCGCGCCACGACAACAGTCATATTCAGCGCTTGGTTTGTCCGGGCTTGTGTATTTTCCCCGCGGGTGGTCAGCAGTTTGGTCAGGGGACAGGAAGAGTTGAGTAAACTGGTAGAAGATGGTGAATGAGAAGAATTTCTTCCATCCTCCCCTGCAGCTGTGTGTGAGTGTGAGGGAGAGCAGCGATGGAGAAGCAGCAGCTGATATCTCTTGCCCTTCTCAGCAGCCACAGGGACCACAGCTGAAAATGTTGACGTGACCCATGGGCATGACCCATGCTCATCCTACAAGGGCAGGTTCCTCCAGGAATTTGTTCTTTGCACTGTGAAATACCCCCTGGTTTTGTTGTATGTAATGCTCGAGGCCAGAGCAGGAAAAATCTTCAGCTGTGCTCTGGTGAGCAGGGCTTGAAGGATCCTTGGAAGTCCTGTTGGTTTGGGTGCCTAATTAATGAGAAATAACTTTGATGTCGTAGTTGACTCAGCCTCTGGGTCTCTTAGACTGACCAGCAGCATGACCTGGAGATTTTCCTACCCAGCTTTAAGGGCTTTACTTTGATCGTATGAAAAGTTGTGAATATTAAAAGTATTATTTAATGGAAGAAATCTCACACCGCTGCTTGAATATGAATCTGCTGTTGTGTGAGTTTTGGATGTGTCTCTGAGAATCAAAAGTTTAGAGTTTAAATCAGAAAAGTGGGGTTTAGATTACCAAAAATGAGAAGTATTAGCTGCTGTATTGAGGCCACAGTTCCAGGCTTCTCCCCTTATCAGGATAATGAAAAATATTAAAGGCTGTTTAGTTCACAGGTCATTCCAGTGATTGCTCCAAGCGCTCAAGCTGTTATTGACAAAAGCAGAATCCCTGCAGAAGGCAGTGCCAAAATGACTAAAACAGTGCTCAGCCTATAGGAATTCTTTAAGTCCATGTTAATTAGGCAGCTGTTAAACATAAAGCTGTAGCACGGTCGGGTGGCTGCCTGATGGGAGTTACCAATTTCCGTTCGGTGGAGTTCCACGTAGAACTTACGTGGGAATTTCTGTTGGAAATTAAATTTCTACTGGAAATATTGTATTTCCATGGAAGTTTCCATACAGAATGGAACTTTGAACTATACGGGAGTTCTATGGTGCAAGGCAAGGAGAATGTGGGTCTTTTAGATCTTCCTGGTATTCATATGGGGGAACTAGTTGTGGAGTTCTTCATTTAGGTGAGGTAAAGCCATCAGTGATAAATCTGTGTTTTTCCAGTTGCCCACATGTGAAGCTGTGAACCACAAAACTTGATTTGGCATCGTATACATCCCCTGCAGCACCCTGGTGATGAGAGGGAGCGGGGGGCAAAAAGAACTCTTGTTCTTTTGGTTTATTCTTCTCTACTCATTAATATCGAATTTCCTCGCTGTCATCTTATTCAAATTCTTGTTAAAGTCAGATTTTTGAATGAAGTCACTGATGTTTAATTTGATGGATGCTCTTACCTGGGCTCCCGGAGGGGGGCACATGGGGTCAGCAG